CCTGTCACTAAACATTACTTGTTTTTAAACTTTGACCAGACAGCAGCACACTGTCAAAAGTAGAGCCATGCATAAAGTCTAAGACCAATAATATCTAAAAAAAAAAAAAAAAAAGCATACCATCTTCACCTTCCTTAACATGCTTTCTAAATCAGTTGAAGTCACGATGTATCTATCGTGTTCTCTATCTAGCGGAAAGCTACGGTGACCGCCTCCACATCAATTCCTAAACTGTATGCTGTTGTATCATATGCTATGCTCTTTAGCACCAAACGTCGAGCATTAGTTTTTGCTGAGAAACCCTAGGTATTTATTTTGCCTCATGACGCTGAACCGTCTAAATAAATAAATAATCACTAAAGCGAGCATTATTCTGAATTAACTGCTGAATTTCCACCTCCGTGGCACCTGCTGGCGACTCTCTGCACGGCCGACTCCACGCAGGTCTGGCTGTTCCGCTGACACTCTGACCCACTCCTCTCCTCGCCTAATGTTCTCCATGAGGCTAACCTGTCTGATCTTGTCCTCAACCTCAGCCATCCATCGCTCACTTTCCTCTTATCAACCGCTGATCCTTAACTGTGCCCAGCACTCCGTGCAAATGCTGATGGCGTCTGCAGCTACTCTGAGATATAACTTTCCCTGCAGCTAACGGAGCCTACTTGCAACACTCGTCTATCCAGGGAAGTATCGCTTACTGGGGTTCTTTGCTACATCCAGGACATGCTCCTAATCTGAGACGTATCAAATGATTCAAGCCACTCTGCACACGGGACGCCAGTTTGAGTACTTTGTGAGTCGGTTACATTTACAACATGTCGGACTGTGCTGCTCTGAAACCTTAGAAAGCTATTGTTACGGCCTCCCCCCTCCTTTCTCATACTGGATGTAATGACATGCAAGAAGCTTTCTATTGTCAAACAGTGTCTATTTCTCTTTACAATAAAATCCCGCCCACTGTTCTTACCTCTCACTGAAGACCATCCTAACACTATTTACTTTCAAAACTACACTAAGAATGCACCCACTGTTGAAAAAAAGGGTAAAGATCCCTTTTCACGCCTTAGGCACATCGGGCATGTCGGAAGAGCACCCACATTTTTACAGACCAATCGGCACTAGGTAAGTAATGTGGTCAGCATTACGCCGGCCGTCTTTACTTCCCCAGGACATCCATCCTGGTACCTATTTTAATCTAGTCGATCTACGTTGCCAGTCCCATACCATGATTCAAATCAACCTAATCGAGAAAAGTTGAAGATATCATTCACTCGAATACATTTGATGTCCTGTGTCATTAGCACATTTATTTGCTCCCTGTATCTGCCTAGGATTCCACATTCCAGCTTGATTTAGTCAGCTTGTATCGATTGGCCTGCCATCGTATCGTCATTAGTTGTTATTAAATGGTTTCTTCAGCAGTTACGGAAGCACAGATGTGCCATTGTAGGGAAACACTTCCCGCCCCCCCCTTCCCCCCCCCCCCTGCTCAGCAATCACTCACAAGCTTTCAGACTTCTTAATCCACGCATCTCTGACCTGTTCCATGTGATATTACCCTACATTCAGTCGTGTCTCTAGTCTAGAGGTGTGCCGTAGAGACCAGGAGAAAGGAGCAACTGGGATGCGTACAGCGAAGTTTGTCACTGTCAGATTAATGGCATCTAAACGACAGACAACATTTGTTTCAGCATATTGTTTTGTTTGTTGTTGCAATTATTAATTACAGAAACGTATAATTAGTTCTTGTTTTGCACACACAGTTAGTTCTTGTTTTGCACACACAGTTAGTTCTTGTTTTGCACACACAGTTAGTTCTTGTTTTGCACACACGGTTAGTTCTTGTTTTGCACACACAGTTAGTTCTTGTTTTGCACACTCAGTTAGTTCTTCTTTTGCACACACAGTTAGTTCTTGTTTTGCACACACAGTTAGTTCTTGTTTTGCACATACAGTTAGTTCTTGTTTTGCACACACAGTTAGTTCTTGTTTTGCACACACAGTTAGTTCTTGTTTTGCACACACAGTTCTTGTTTTGCACACACAGTTAGTTCTTGTTTTGCACACACAGTTAGTTCTTGTTTTGCACACACAGTTAGTTCTTGTTTTGCACACACAGTTAGTTCTTGTTTTGCACACACAGTTAATTCTTGTTTTGTACACACAGTAATAACTAAACATTGAGGTAGCTGGGTAATCTCATGTGTTACTGGGGGTTAAGTTTTGATCTCTTTGTTTCCTCTATGTCTGCCTGCCTGTCTGTCCTCCCGTCTGTCTGTCTCTTTCTCTCTCTCTGTTATGGCATTTAAAGGAAGGTTAGTTGCGTATCGTTTACAGGACGTCGCAGAACAAACCACAACAGTCCCTAGCTGTTGTGTGGTTTTTCTAGGCAAATTTACGTCCAGTAGTTTGCCATTGCATTCTGGACAGTCGCTCTTCTTCCTTCGACTCTTATCACTGTCGAAACCAACGCGAGGCGCATGGCCCGCGCAGCTGGGATCAAACCCGGCACCAATCCCCATTACGAAGCTTTTGCATTGGATTCACTCAGCCCACAGTGCCGACGTTCATAAACAGAAAGGACTTTGACGTCAATATTCTGTATTTCTCCATTATTGAAAAAAAAGGTTTGGGGGGGGGGGTGGGGGGGGGGGGGGGTCTCTTGGGGGGGGAGGGGGAGGAAAACACACAAAACCCGTTTAGTATTATTTATTTTGTACAACCCGGATTCCCCTTAACTTTATCCTTTCTCTTCTCTCTCTCTTCTGTCTCTTTTTCTTTTCCCCTTTTCTTCTTTTCTTCTTCTCCGTTTTTCTTCTTTTTTCCCTTCTCCTCTTTTTCTTCTTTGTTCTTTCTTTCTTCTCTTTCTCTTCTTCTCCTTCTTCTTCCTTCTTTTCACCTCTTCTTCTTCTTCTCTTTCCTCCTTTTTCTCTCCCCTTTTCTTCCTTTCTTCTTCTTCTTCTCTCTTCTTCTCTCCTTCTAAAATCTCTTCTTCTTTTCCTTCTCTTTTTCTTCTTCCTCTTCTAGTTCTTCTTCTTCTTCTTCCTTTCTTCTTCTTCTTCTTCTTTCGATTCTCTTAGCTTCATGATGTCTTCCTTCATGCCACGTTCCTTCTTCTCTTCTTCTTCTTTTTCTTTCTTCGTTCTTCTTCTTCTTCTTCTTCTTCTTTCTTCTTCTTCTTCTTCTTCCTCCTGTCTTTCTTCTTTATTCACTTTGCTTCTTCCACCTTTCCCTCTTCTTCTTCTTCTAATTCTTGTTCTTCTTCTTCTTCTTCTTCCTCTTTTCTTCTTCTCGTTCACATTTCCTCTTCTTCAATCTCTCTTAAAGAACCTTTCTTCTTCTTTATCTCTGTGTCTTTATCTATCTTCTTCTTTCTTCTTCTTCTTTGTTTCAATCTTCTTCTTCTTAAACGTTCTTCCGCCTTCTCGACTTCTTCTTCGACTTCTTCTCTCTTCACTTCTTTCTCTTACCTTTCTCTTCTTCTTCCTTCTTCTTCTGTTCCTCTCTTCTTCTCTTTTCCTTTTCTTTCTCTTCTTCTTCTTCTTCTATTCTTCTTGTTCTTCTTCCTTTTCTTTCGTGTTTCTTCTTTCTTCTTCCTCTCTTCTGTCCATCTTCAGAATCTTTCACTTTCTTCTTCTTCCTTATCCTCTTTTTCTTCTTTTATCTCTCTTCCCCTTCTTCTCTTTCTTCTGAGTCTCTTCTTCTTTCTTTTTCTTCTTCTTTAGGCTTCTTGGGAAGCTTTCCTTCTTCTGTTCTTTTTCTCTCCAATGAAATTGGTGGGGGTCTTTTGGTAATTTCTCACTTCGGCCTTCCTTTCTTCTTCTTTCTTCTTCTTTCTTGTAAACCCACTCTTCTTCTTCTTCTTCTTCTTCTCTTCTTCAAGATCATTTTTCTGAAAATTCTTCAGCTTCTTCTTTCTTCCTTCTTTACCCTTCTCTTATTCTTCTTCTCCGTCTCTCCTTCTTTCCTTCTTTCTATTCTCATGATATTTTCTTCTTCTTCCTTCTTTCTCCTTCTCTCTCTCTTCTGAAGCTTTTGATGGAACTTTCTTAAGAAAGAAAGAAGTCTCTAACTTCCCTTCTTGCTTCTAGTCAGTCTTCTTCTTCTTCTTCTCTTTCTTCCCTTCCGCTTTCTCTTTCTCTTCTTCTTCCTTCTTCCTCTTCTTCCTTCTAGCAGCCACCCCCACTAATTCCAACCGAGATAACTTCTTTTTCTTAAAACCAGTTTTCTTCAAGAAAAAATCGCAAGTACCTTTTAACAAGAAGTTAAAGAAAATAACTTCTAAAAACTGCTTCTTACTGTCCTTTATTTTTCCACTTTTCTGCTTCTGTAGGCGAGGGGGTTCTTTCTTCTTCTTCTTCTCTTCTGGGGGGGGGGGGGGGCGGGGCGGGGGGGGGGGGGGGGTCTTTGAGCCTCTTCTTCAGGATTCTTCGGCTTCCTTTCTTCTTCTTTTCTTCCTTTCGACTTCTGCAGGCGAGATTTTCTTATTCCTTCTTTTATTTTGCCCGCTTGAGAGCCCAGCATTCTAAGCGTTCGGCCAGCCGCTCCTCACTTGGAGAAATACACGCACATATTTTTTCTGTTTCTTCTTCTTCCAATTGCCGTCTACTGGTGAGTGAGTGTCCCTCTGTTATCAGTCGCCGATGGATCTTGCTGTTTTCGTCTTGATGATATATGCTTTGTTTTTTTAAATTTATAATCTAATGTTTACCTAGGTACAACGGAGATCACTCACCACATCAAGCTGGCAGCGCTGTTTTGTTTTCATGACAAATAAAGCTAAAATCTGAATCACTACAAGTACATATGCATTCAGTTTAAAAATTGCTGGACACCTCCCTCGACAGTTGATCACGCCGCCTGGAAGACACGAGAACCACTAGTGCAGACAAGCTGTGGTATCAACATTTAGAAGAAAAAGAAAAATGGCACTATATTGGACACATCTTGAGAAGAAGAGAGAAGAGAATTACAAAACAGGCACTAAAATAGGAAACACA